TCCCTGTTGAATCAAATACAATTGCATTACATATTTCTTTTTATTCAATAGTATTATCAATAAATAATAATTGATTTGGACTTAATTGTTATTTTTATTGTTATTAAATTATAAATATATTTTATGTTTATTCATTTAATTTATTTAATATATTCTTTAATTATTAATATTCTTGAAATGATTTGAATTATTCTAATTTAGAATTGATTTTAGTAATCTAACTTTGATTAAGTATTTTAATTTGATTTTAACAATTAATTTAATCATTTTGATTATTTTATTAATTAATTATTATTAAATCTAATTCTTTAAAGAAACTATATTCTGAATATTTAAATCCTATTTATTTTAAATTTAATATCCAATCTTTTGTATTATTAATTATTTGATCTAATTATTAAATAATCATAGATTTTAAATTATTGATTTCAATTTAGAATGATTCAACTTATTTAATATTACTTATAATTAGATTTTCTAAAATACTTAATTATTACTATTTATTATCTTCAATCTTCTAAACTATTTTTTTAAATCCTATTGTCTTCTATGTTTACTCTGATTCAAAATTATCAATGCATTCCTAACACAAAAGTCTTTAATTTTATGTTAGTTTAGAATCTAGAATAACCATTGTGACAGGTAATTCATGTTTCATTAAACAATGAAGATTTTTTTCATTTTCTATCATTTTTGGTTTATACATTTTTTTATTTAATTATTAATATATTAATCATTTATTTAAAAGAAGAATGTATAATTAATATAAAGTTAATGATGCTAGCTATTTAAAAATTTTACAATTGGGTAAAACATAAGAACAATATCCCTAAATAAAAAACTCGTTATTTAATGAATCTAAATATTAAAATCATAAAAAATTGTTAATATAAAAAAATTGGAACAAAACAATTAAAATTGTGATTTGCTAACGATAAAAATATTGATAACATCTTTAGCAATTTAGATTCCTTTATAAATATTAGCATTTTGTATATAATTAATAGGCCTGGAAGAATTTAAGGAATTAGTAAATTAATCTACTTGTAAATATCTAATCATCAGATAAGTTTGTAAAAGGAAAAAATCAACAAAAATTTTGAATGATAATGAAAAATATAGAGTAGGTTTTAAAATAATTATACATAAAGACATACTAAACCTAATTAACATACAATAGGAATTAAAAAAGGATGAATATGATTATCACCCATATGGGCAATAAAAGATAAAATTCTGTTTTGAGAATGAAATGAATATTTTAACAATATAATAAAGAATGATTAGTAATCTAAAGTATACTTTTATCTTTTTATGTTAACAATGTTAAAATTTCAACTTAAAACCTTCTAAATATCATTAATAAAAATCGATTATAAATGAAAAGAAGTTTACTTAAAAAGTAAATATGTTTTTCTTTTTCAATATTCTTATCATACTTAATTATTTTTCTCACCTATTCGAATGCAAAATATTTATCTTCTTAATTTAATATTAATTTCAATCCCACATTTAATTTCACTTCTCATAATATTTCATCTGATATCAATAATAAATGAATATTGTTCAATTTACACTTTTACTGATCTTAAATATGCAGATTTCTAAATTGTTGGAATTAGTGATTCAACTTCAGATAGGTGAGGCTCATAACCTAAAAACTTGTTTATTAGACCTTATGGATTTTAAACTAAAGTGACTAAAAAGTTAACAAATGTTCCCCCTAATATTTTAATTGGATTATAGGTTGGTGTTTTGAAATTAGGCTCTTGTGATATAAAAGGATTTGTGACCTATCGAAATGATGTGTAAATACAAAATTTAATTTTGAATTACGATATTTGAACAATTGTAGAAGCCATTTTTGGTAAGATTTACTTAAGCCTCTTTTACTAAAGTCTTAAATAACAGGAACTGATTTAACTATTATGTTAACTATTATGTTAAAATACAATTTAAACTCTAATTCTTGGTCCAAAAGTTGTCTATCATGAATAATTATATAGAAAAATTATTAATAAGTCATTTGATTCGTATAAAATTATCATTTCAATTATTATAATTCATCATTTTGAAAATTAAACTCGGAGTTATTTTGATTCTAAAATATTGTCTTAATTTATATACTTTCTATTTGATTTTTAAAGCTAATTTTCAAATATAATTAGCATTTAAGGACTTTATTTCAGATTTTTCATATTTTCATGTTAGTCTTTAATGGTTTAGCTTCTTAACCCTGTACATTTTTAATTGCTTGAAAACTTTTAGGGAATCCTAAAAAAATTTAAAGTTTAATTTTTATCATAAACTAATTTATCTCTCAAAATTATGTATTTATCAATTATATTAAATTTTTTATTCATCATTTGGTATTTTCTTTTATTCTCTTTTGTAGCTTTATAATCTTTCATCACTTATTCCTTTATTATTAATATTTTAACAACTTCTAAAAGATGTTTATATTACGAGAGGATTACTAAAGTTTCATATATTGTATAGACATAATTTAATTCTATCCACATGTTCCTTTAAGTTTAAAACTTGCTTTTTAATCCAACTACTTTCCAAATTCTTCCAAATTGTTAGCTAGTTAATTCATTATCTATTAGATGAAATAGTTTATATTCATTTTTTAGAAATTTTGTTCTAATTATAGTTTAGCCATTGAATATAATGATTAATCTTTTATTAAAATATCATTTTGTAATATAAAAAAGTTAGATGTTAATAATCTTATCAATCTATTATTAATTAATTATTAATTATAAATTGGAATTGAATACTTAATTTTTATGTTCTTTCATAATCATTTTTAATTTGATAAACTTGTAAATTTAATTATATATATCTCTATTTATATCATGATTAATTATATATTTTATTTCTTACCATTATTTGTTTACCACTATATTTATTTTCACTTATCTTCCAATTTTTGTCATCCAAAAATACACTATCATTCCCAATCTTAATCTCAAAATCTCCAATCATATAATCCAATACTCCAAATATACTATGAAAGTAAAATTAAAAATTCTTTAATAAAAAATCCATTTTCGAAGTTCCATCCTGGTCAGAACGGATATGAGGTTGCAATGCCTCATAGAATGGAAAAGGATGGCACGCACCTTTAGTTTAGGAACTCAAACATAATACTAATATAATTCATTCTTTCCTAATTAATATACTCTTTTTGAACTTTCATTATATGTCGAAGTAGAAGTATTAATTAATTAGTTAGTATCAAATCGCCCTTCTATAAGAAGTGGACTAGCCTAAGGGTGAAGATAGATGGGATATTTAATTGAAATATAAGGCTTTCAAGAAGGAAAGAACAGGAATTCCTTTAGCTATCCTAGTGTCTAGGAGAATGTTAGCTGTAAGGAGAGAAGACCAAGAAACAAGGAATAAACAGGTTATTAAGGTAAACTTTTATAAAACACCTTTTTTTGGTTTATATACACGTGATTTAATTGTCAAAATTGATATTAAAATTTATCTCTAAAAATTCATTAACCTACCAGCCATAATAGGAGGAGACATAAATTATACTATAAGAAAGAAGAAAGCTTATCCTTACTATAATAAAGTTACTAAACTAATTATTATAAGGCATAAAAATGGCTTAATAGAAATGGCACTACAACTATTTTAATGAGATTTATATTATAAATAATTGAGTGTTAAACAAAATAGAGAATAAATATAAGACAATAAAGAAGTAATGCATTTATTGAGAAAATTTTTTCAATTTAAGGATTGGATCAAAGAAATAGGAATGATATCTAATTACTGTTATCTTCAATTTTCAAGAGAAAAGATTGATTTAATTCCGAAAAATAATAAAGTTATATATTAACAGAATTAAAATAATTAGCAACATATATACTTGGAGGATAATTAGATTTAAACTTTGAAAGTATAAATAAATTTGAATATTTATTTGCCATTAGATTATTACCATTAAATAAGGCACATGTCAAAATCTTATAAGCTTAATTATTGAGGAACTAAAAAACTAAACAAGAAAATAAAATAATCCAAATCGACCGCATTTTTGACTTTTCAAATGCTTATTATTGTGTTGATAGAATAAAACTGTTCTAAATGAATAAAACAAAAAATATTTTATGTATATAATTAGGATATTTTGGAATGGATCTAAGATAATTTTTATATTTATAATCCAATTTAAAAAATAGGATATACTTTAAAAAAGGAGTGCATTAAAGATTTTTATACTCTCCCAATTTATTTGATATTTATTTTGATGAGTTAATTAAAGAGATTAAAAAGGAATAGAAGAGATTAATTGAATAGGATAAAAACTTATAATTAAATATTCATAAGTGAAATTATTTGCATATGCAGATGACCTAGCATTTATTGGAAATATCAAGATTGTAAAATTGTTTATAGACTTTATAGTGAATGCTTCTCAAAAATGGAACTTTCAGGTTTATTTAAAAAAAAAAATATCTAACAGCATCAAGAAAATATATCTGTTAATATGGAAACAAAAAAAAGAGAGATATTTCAAATATATTTGTGTATATAATAGGAAAATTTACTTGAATAGTTTGAGCATGTTAAAAAAGTACTAAATTATTAAAATTATTCATTGTCTCCCATGAAAAAATGATACAACTGAGAGAATACTGATATTAGACCTCAACTTCAGTATGTGTCATCAATACTCTATAATTAATCAAATCATTTAATCGTAGCCTGGGAAGATTTAAGAAGATCCTTGCTTAAAACAGGTATTCGATTACCTAAGACAGTATCGCATAAAGTTATGGATAGAATATGGGAATTATTTGGTGTTAAACTTCATTGATTAATAAACTTAAAAGATATCAATATCTTTAGTATTTTATTGAAAAATACTGTTTACCTAAATTAAATTATGAAGGAAAAAAATAGAAAGAATATGAAATTTTATCCGAATTTTGAATATTTTAATATAGGTATTAGTATAGATGGATGATGACATATTATTAAGCAAAACTGAAAAACATAAGAATGAAGTCCTTCACAAATAATTTGGCATGACAGAAGTTTAGCAAGAGAGTTTGATTAATTAGAGGATTGGATATAAGACTCTATAAATGTAATAAAATAAATCTGAAGTTAGAGTTGCCAAATAGTGATTAAAAATAGTTTTGGAAAATCATTCTATGAAAAGAAATTGCTAACAAAAAAGAAGGATAATGAGAATGAGTTAAATTAAAAACATTAAATAACTGAATATATATTTATTGAAAATAATTTTAAATTTATTCAATTAATTCTGACTAATTATAAATATCCAATATACCAACCTTTATATTCAAAATTGTAAGCGATTAATTATGTTTACTTAATTCAATTACTGATTTCAACTAAACCAACTAGCCACTGTTCAAACCTATTCATTTTATGATCCAATGCGAACAGAAGAGAGTTATTTAATTAGAGAATTAATTTAATTATTAATTAAAATGGATTATAACTTTTTGTCTTATAAAAATCCAAACCTAACTGTTTTACTATTTTGATACAATCAATTATATATGATTTTTTTTATAATCTTATGAGTATTCTCGAAATACTCCATAATAACTCCTATAATTTGATTAACAAAAGATTGAATAAATTGATTATTAAAAAGAATAAGCACTTAAAAAAAAAGAAATCAAGATCCATTCATTATTCTAAATTCTTTCCATCTTAATATTATTCAATTAAAGTATCAAAAGTTTTTTCTTAAATACTTATAGTTAAGCAAAACAATTACTAATATTATATTGAAAATATTGAATAAATAATTATTTTATATCCTGATTATCACCTATGCCTATGTGGTAAACTTCCAATATATCATTTCGCAATTCTAATATTTTTCCTACTAGAGAATAGCTTCCTTTCCTGCTTTGTTTATTCTAATTTCTAAAGTATTTCAATATCTAAATTCTCTCTTAAAGGTTAATAAATCTTAGTAACTTAATTATAATTATATATAATTTAATTCCTATCTAATCACATAAATTAATTCAATTTCAGTTCTCTCTGTAGCAAATTACTAGATTCAGACCATCCTAGTTGCACTTTTTCCCTCTATAATTATAATTTATCTATGAATATAATACACAGAAAATATTAAGACTTCTTCATGTAGTATTTCTAATATTATTGTAAATATAATACAATCCTTCAAGTTGATAATAAAAAATGCATTTGAACATGTTAAAACCACATTATGGTGAAAAAATTTCAAAAAATAATTCAATTTTCGATTGCAAGTATTTCATAATTTTTAATTCTTGAGACAAAATTAATCTGCATATTCCTAAATATAATATGAAATAGCATTAATATATAAGAAAACAGTTAACTGAATTTTTAAGATTTTTCTTATATATTAAACTAGAATTGTATGTAACTTTATATAAACACAAAATACTCCTCAATTTGTAAAATATTTATCTGACTTATTCCCTGTTTAAAATCTTTTAATTTGATTTTTCATTTTCTTTATATTTAATGATTATATCATTCTTAATTATTTACATTTATCTATTTTATCAATGGATTATTCTATAGAGAAAAATAAATATTTATAATTATTATTTTACTTTTAAATATGAGAAACATTCTAGATTGGAAATTATATAATTCTTAATTATTAGTATATTTTGAATCAATTATGTTTTTAATTTTCATTTACTAACATTAAAGAAAAAATTAAAATAAATATAATAACATAAACCCAAATTTTAAATTACACCTAGAAAGTATTATATCTTTTAGACAGTACAGCTTGATTTTCCTGAGGTTATGAGGGTAAATTTAGGAATCTAGAATAGTAAATTAAAAAGAAATTATATATTCTCTATTAAAACGTAAAATAAAGTTATAATGATGATATCAAATTAAATGTTTTGAAAAAAATTAATTATAATAAATTTATTAAGGGGGCTTGTAAATAATGTTATCAAGTCACGTGTAACTAATCTGAAAGGGATGCCTTAGCATTAGCTAGACGGGGAATTCTAAAAACCCTAAGAAATTAAAAAAATAACCTTGATTTCTGCCCCTCTAGCCAACCGGGAGTGGAGTTCCCTCTTCGAGGCTCCAAGGTTTTCTTGTTTCTCAGGTACTTCGCTTCGGTATGCTGGCATGAGCAGGAGAAAGATTTCAACAGAACAATCCTTATGTCAAATCTTCAAAATGCAGGTAGATGCCTGAGTCAATTATAACATTGGCATTGTTCGTTCCTTCTAAACTCAATATCAGAAAAAAAAGCTCGAAAGGAAAAGAAGCCAGCGATGAGAAGAAAGCTGAGTTAGGACCTACGCCTAGTGCAGTGCTCTTTATATAAGATAGATAATAGAAGTAGATTGAAACTCGTAAATCAATCAATTTTCATCAAGTTAGTTAATTAAGATTCGATAAGATCTTTATTTAATGTTGGGGACCCTGTAAAATATTTCAATAATCAGTCATTGAAATTTAATGAAAATTATAGAGGCCCCTGAATAAATTTTTTGTTGGATTTAATAGGAATTTAATAGAACTTAATTGAGCAACAGCATGATTCGACATCTACAAAAAGATTTGATTTTAAAATTATGAGGTAGTGTCTCCTATGCTATAAAATATCCGACTTAATGGGATATTTGAAGCACATCCATAGAGTGGTTTACTTCAAGATCTGAAATCTAGAAATCAATCCTCCTCTTTATGACATTACCTTTCTATAAAAATTGAGTTTAATTTAAGTCAATAAAGGAGGCTTTTGTTTTTATTCTATATATTTCAAGCTTTTTCTATAAAGTATTCTATTTTTGAATTATTAAATTTTGAAAAATTTAACTTTCAATGTATTAAGACTGAATGTTTACTGTACTTATTAATAAAACTAAACATATTTTGAGATTTTGATCAAATAATAAGCACATTATAATATTTAATTTTCAACGATTGATATTTTATCTTTTTCTATAAAATACAAAGTATTGAAGAAATCCTAATTATGAAAAAGTTAATAGCAAAAATGTTATGTAACTAAAAGGGAGTTAAGCAATATTTAGAAAATGAATAGATTTGCCTGAGCAATCGAATATGATGATAAGGCTATTTTGAAGAATCTTTAAAATCTTATCTATTTCTATAATTAAGATATAAAAATTCTTTTATCATAAAGATTATTTGAAATTTTGTTCAATTAAAAATAATGCAAATCAGCAGTATCCTCCAAAACTTTTCCTTGTACTAGAAATACTAAGTGAAGGAATCAATTAATGTCATCATACAGATTCTTGAAGGAAAACTAAGGAAGAAAAGAAATAGACAAATAAACTAATGATTAGGATTTTGATGAATGCAAATAAAATAAGAATTAATAAGAATATATCAGCAAAACCTCAATTAATCGCAAAAGTTTACCAAAATTTTCCTTAATTTATAAAATAACAAAATTATTTATGAGTTTTGTAGTATGTTCTAACAATTAAACCCAAGAATTGAGAAATATAATTTATATTAATCAAGAAGATGAAAATTATCATTTAATTTCTAAATAAATAATATGTTTACATCAACTACTTTTTAGATATCAAAGCTATATAAGAATAATTCTTTTTAAAATGTAATTTAATCAAAAAATAATTAAAAATATACTATAAATGATTAAATTTAGGTAGGGATAAGTTTTTCGCTGATTTAGCTCAACAGATTAATTTCTCTGATTTTCACAAAGCTTTTATGAAAGTCTCTTGTTGTAACTAATTGATCAAAGTCCTAGTCAAATAGTAATGAGCTTTCTTTATTGCTCCAGTAATTTCTGAATTCTTACAATGATCCGATTTGGCTTTCTAGGATTAGATATCCTACTCTTTAAGGGTAGGCCCTTTACAATTATAATTCTATTCACGATTAAATGAAATTACTTATGCTTTCTCGCTTTAGATCCGAGTTACAGGATTCTATTTTAAATTTTAAATAGTGAATTAAATTAAAATTGTGGCAACTGTTTCTAGAAAATATTAAATTAGAAAAAGAAATCAAATGAGTCAGAGAATTATTTATCAATATAAATTTATAAAATTAAGGGCGATTTAATAGCTATATATTTAATTAAATAACAGCATGAAAATTTTTAGAATTTTTTAATTTCTGATGTTCATCATAAAACTCTTTTAATTAATTTATCATGTTGAAATAAATTAAAAAATTTCTTTCAAGTAATTCTAAAAATCAATCTAATATGAATAAATTGGTCTAAATGAATAAATTGTTCTAAATGATATTCATTATTTTAGATGAATAAAATATGAAAATTTTATTAAAAATTAAGAATATGATATGATTAATAATAATTACTTTTTATCGTTAACATATTTTTTTTAATCCAACATTTTTAGATATTATTAGTAAAAAAGAACATCAATAGATAATATATTCATCATTATAGAATCTAAAACTTTAAGATAATTAATGTATATTTTTATAAACCCTCTATAAAATCCTTTATTTATTGTAGATTAGAATTAATACTAATAAATAGAATTAAAAATTCAAGTTTATATACTTTGATTCTAACTAGGGACTATAATTTATGTCTAATCTTCAAATAATACTTTTATTTTTGATTTATTTTGGAGATTATAAAAAAATAGGATTTTACTTATATGATATTGAATTATTTTATTCTTAACAGTTTTGAAGAAATTAAGAAAAATAATCAATTAAAAGAAGATGTATCTAATTATATATGATGTTCGTAAATTGATACGACTTCTATTATGTATCGAAAAATTATTGAATAAGTAAAAATCACAATTAATGTCTAATAATATAATATGATAAAAAATTGAATTTATAATTATCATTCATATTGAATCTACACCTGTTTTACTAAACATTATAAATTTACTCCTTTTCTAATGATTATTTCAGTTCATAAAATTGACCAATATTGACTTTTCTTTTTTTCTAGAATGCTAAGGTTCAACATTTCTAACGTAAAATTGGTCTTTTTGAAAACGAATTAAACAGATAAAGGTCTAAATCTATAGTGTTTTAATATAATTCAGAAGAAGTAGGATGATCAATGTGAATTAAAGATGGAGCTATATTATTAATATACAATACTTGTATTATGAGTTGAAAAGTTTATCAAATTTTACTCTTAGGGCTTTTAAACAATCTGCTTAGAAGATTTTATACAATCTCCTAAGAAGCATTTTGTGATTATGAAAGAGCTCTAAAAAAATTTCTTTTTAGAATCACTTTTATTATTGTATTTGTTCTTTTGGATTGATCTTTAAAGCTTTTCATGCCCTTCTAGAGTTGGCATTGATAAATTTAATCTAATACTCTATTTTGATGACCAATTTTGTAGTCTTTAAATAAAATATATAAAAATAATCAAATCTTTTTGATAACATTAATATATGAATTCTTAATAATCTGTCCTTTTAATTGTGAATTTAAAAACTATAACTATAACTTTGTATTCCTTATGTTATTTTACAGCTTGTTATTTAGTAGATTGATTTTTTAGCATTCTATTGTTCATTTAAAATATATTTATGAGTTAATTTTCTGAATTTTTCTTAATATTTTTTGGTTACATGTTTACATAAATTTATATTCTATTTTCAACATTATCAAATATATTTTAGATTTTTAGATTTTAATCTATACAGCATGTTGGAATTTTTTGTCAATGTTAATTAAAATATTCTAAGAGGACTAGAAATATAGATTATTAATAAGGATTAAAAAATAATAAAAATTTCAACACAATAACTTAAAGTATAAGAACTATTTGTCTGTTATAAGGAAAATTTAATTTAAGTATTGTCATACACTTAAGAAGCCAAGTTAAATCTAATTATAAAAATTCCTGATTTTGGATTTGTTTTCTCTACATCAACTGTTTAATAATTTTGATATGAAATTACAATATCTTCTTTTTATCTATCATATCTATTTTCTCATCTCATTCAACAGTATAAATATAACTAAATAATACTCATAATTGTGATTGAAATATCAATTAATAAGATTCCTAATTAATTCTATGGATCCCATATTTTTAAAGAATTGTGGAATTATTAAATTATATAGGAAAAATAATAAAAAGTTAGATTTAGTTTATAGTTCTTGCACAATAATTTTAATAATTAAATACTATGTTTATTAATCAAAAATTTTCGGGATTGAAAAAGGGGATGGTAATTTTATTTTTTTTCAATAAAAAAAATTGAAATTTTTTATTTTACCCATTATTTGATATTCCATTATACATAAATTTTATAATATGATCTTTTTAAATCAATCGAAATTTTTTTCAGACCTTCGAAATATATTTTGTTCGAAATACCATTGTTTAAAATCCGATAAGAAAGGAAAATATTGAAATTCTTTATCTCTTTATTATTCCTTAAAATCCTAATAATTGAGCTTTTTTTCTTTTTCAATTTATTAAAAAGCCTTCTAATATGTATAATTTTTAATTATAATTATTCATATTTCATATTTATATTTTGAAATTTTATTATAATCTACACAAAATTCAAAATTAGGCAAAAGTCATTAAACAATGAATAAAAAAGAAAAGGTAGATAAATATGATCTTAATCATTAATGCAGAGAAGGAAGCAATTAGAATTACAATTAGCAGAATTTATGAAAATTTATTAATTTTAACAATTAAGAATTAACAAATAGGAGTTTAAAATTATTAAAAAGAAATGAACACAATAATTTATATCTTAAGACCGAGAGTAATTTGGCTGATTGTTTAAATTTCAATAATATTCCTTTAATTAAAAAGAGTTTTTAATGCAAAAGATTTGTCAGATTATCTTAATCAAAGCAGTTTTTATTGAATAATAAATATTTAAAAATTTAAAATTATATAAAAAATATTAGAGTTTTGTATTTATAAGTTTTATTCTTTATAATAAAATGGATTAATCATTTTTTTTAATAATAATCAACTTCAGCTACCGAAAATCCTTATAATTGGTTAAAAAAATATTTTCTTTCCTCCTTTATCTTTTCCTTTTGTATCTTTAATTAGTAATTATGATATATTTTCAAGATTTGTTAAGATAAATCTATGAACAAATTGGAAGCCAAAATGGCACAAAACATACCAATATGAATCCAACCAATAATAATTAAATTATCTTAACTAAATTCAAAACTATATAGTAGAAAAGAGGCTGAAATGAGCATAAATAAAAATTCTCTGCATATTATTTTCAAATTTTCATATGTAGATTTCGTAGGCTTAAATTTAATTAAGTATATCAAAAAGAATGATGATTGCATTGAAAGGAAAATCGATTATGCTTCTGGATAATTGATTAATTTTACAATAATCAATATATAAAATATTATTTTGTAAATTTATAAGGTTTTAAATTAAACTGCCCAAAATGTAAGTTTAGATTCATAATAAAAATATTTCCATTTTTTTTCATTTTTTATTTAAGAAGTAGTTATTGTAAATAATGGATAAATTAGTTTGAATATATAAATTAATCCAAAAATAGCATTAATACTGTTGAATATTTCAAATGGAGTATTAAATGCATAATTTGGAAATTAAATTAATAGACTAAACATCAATTAATGTAAAATGGCTTAAAATACCTTATAAATTCCTAAAGAAAAATATTCAATTTTTAAATTCAAGCAATTCTTTTGAACTTTTTTTTAAAAAAAATTTATTATTTTTAAGATTTTAAAATTATACTTATGTTTCTTGGTTAACGTAGAAGCAAAACTATCTAAGATTTTTGAAACTAATAGACAACAAATTAAATAACTCAAAATGGAAGCAAAGACAGAAAAGTAGCAACTTTTTACATTGAATAAATAAAGCTAGTGTAAAAT